GCAAAATGTATGAAAGCATGCATGAGAGCATCTGAGATTTAATGGGAGGACACAGAAAGCTGTGGCATAAACAGTTTACACAAATCTAATGTTTCTCTTGCTGCTGCAGGGTAAAGCTGGAGACAGCATGGCCATCAACGACAACAATGATGGAGCAGGATATCCTCTGTTTACATTTGTTAACGAGAACATTTTCAAAAAGGAGACTTTTTTAGGTAAGTGCACAGGGCCAGAGCGTCAGAAGCGAACGGTCTGTCTTCATGTCTTCATGTCCAGTGTCCTTCTCCTTCTTACACAACCACTCTGTTAGAAAGTGTCTGAATGGACGTGATCGCCTCACACATTCCACCAAACCATTTGCCCGTTTGATACTATCCTCCTCGTCGCCTCCCTTCAGACTAAAGCTTCTTCATCTACTCATAATCTCCTTATGACGAACAGTGGCGTGTTGCATAACCACAGAGCACGCAGAGTTCAGTACACTGGGTGCAGAGAGATGCTCCTCTACAACCACTGGCATCCTCAAAATCTTCCTCCGTCTGATAACTGCTGGAGCGTGCTTCCTTCCGGCAATTCTTGTCTAGTGATGTTTTCACAGATTTATGTTGTGCATCATGTTGCCTTCGCTCAGAGCTGTATGGGGAGTTGAATTATGTAACAGCTGGTATTCAGAGTTCAATGTGAGGCAGCTGTCCTGTTGGGAAAAAAAGGATTGCTCCCTTCTTGCTATTTTTGTACTGAGTTTGTCCATAGTCTCCAGCAACCTGCTTCACTGTCCCTCACCTGGTTACTAGACCTGGCGAACACAAATCTGAGTTTTGAAGCTTTTCTGTATTCAGCTTTCACAATCCATGCCCCAGACGGATCAAAATCACCTTCTGAAGAGTGTATATGTTTGTCTCTGCAGCCTTTATCTCCCTGTTGGATAACTATGTGAGTGACACCGGCGAGCCAGAAATTGTAACCCCCGAGGAGGTGGCAGAGAACCACAAATTCCTGGACGCCATCATTAAGACTCCCACTATGAAGGTACATGTGGGGATGTTTGCAAATAAACCCTTCCCTCTTGCTGTGCCTCAGAAATAGCCTTTTATACTACAGATTGAATTAGAGCTAATTAGGTGTTTAAATATTCATATCACACAATTACACTGACTCTAACAATGATTAAAGGTGCAGTATGAAATAAGGAAGAAAGATGGCTAATTGTTGAGTCTCACTCTCAGGTTGTCAGATACCAAAGCTTTGGGTTGGTGGTTCTACCAACCCACGTTTGTCAGTATTTGACGACCTGAGAATGAGACTCAACACCCAATTATCGTTCTCTAGAATTGCACACTGAACCTTTAAATTATTAAATTATCACTTTTATACCAAGGTCTATAGCTGTGCTAGTGTCTCTGTGAGGTTGTACTTCGACACAGCCTTGCAAGGGTGTAGGTTGTGTTTTTATATTGGGACGGACACATGAAACGGGGGGTTTGAAGGTCCTCCACCAGAAAATTCGGAGTATCTAACAGTCGATTTCCTGCGTTCTGATGAATTTCTATGCACCAATTTGTGCTTTTACTGCATCAATTTATGGTATAAATGTCTTTAATTTTGCCAAAAATAAAGGTCCATGTTCACTGTCTTATTTAAGCAAGTTAGCATGCTAACATTAACTTATTAGCACCAAACACCAGCTACACCTGAGGCTGTTGGGAAGATTATTAGATTTGCATTGGACAAATTAAAATGTTGACCTCATGATGGCGCTAGATGAAAAGTCAGAGGGTCATTCAATCAAATATAAATGAGACAAAAAAAAGGCAACATTTTATAGGAAACTCTTGTTTGCTTTCAGATAGCTCATAAATACCTGGCAGAGAAGAACCTCTCTCCAGAGGATGAGACGAAATTCAAGGAGCAGCTGTACAGGATCTGGTTTGAACTCTATGCGAGGAGAGGATCCAGCAGGTGGGTGGAATCCGGCACAGCACCTAAATAAAACCTCCCCAGTGGAATCTGGCACTGTGATGGTAACTGTGTTACTCTGAGAAACTGGCTCTGTGTAGCACATCCCAGGCACTGTGAGTACAGCTACTGAAAATGGTTAGCAGCAACTAAACACTATATTTTGTCCAAATGGCTCATGACTCAGGACAATTTAGTTCTTGGAACAGACGTCAAGCTGCTAAGTTTAGAGTTAAAGTCTCTCATGAGGTGATCAAATTACACTTTTGGGAAATAAGACTGACAAAATAAGTGACACTGAAATCGTCAAATGTGCCTGTGTCTCTCCCCACAGACCAGACTCCTCCGGGTTTGAACATGTGTTTGTTGGAGAGACGAGAGGAGGGCGCACTGTCATCGGCTTCCACAACTGGATCCAGCTCTACCTTCAAGAGAAGCTGGGACACATTGACTACAAAGGCTACAGCGTTGACGCACATTCACCCCAGGTACAATGTCATTGTGTACTGTATCTCTTGTTTTAATCAAGATGGACCACAATGGGGCAAGAATATATTTTCACCCAAAGTTGATCTGCACTCTTTGCAGTCTGGCTCTCATCATTGCTCTCACACACTCATGAGAAACCTCACATCCTGCCATGACGAAACTCACTCTCTCACCTTCTGCTCAGCTTTCTGCAGTTTGTCTTTCTAACCGGAGCCTAATGCTTCTATTTCAACACAGAAACAAGTCTCCTGTAGTTTGAAACACTGCATCATTTTCATATCCTATTTTGCTTATCATCCACCAGTCCCCTCTCTCCATTCTCCAAGTATCATGCAGCATACTGCACGCCCAAGTATTTGCATGAAGGACTGGAACTAAGGGACACTATTATGTTTGATATCCTGATCAGCTAAGGGCTGAGTTGACGAATAGGGCAATTATACCCAAAAATATGTATCATATTAAAGCACATTTCCACCCGGAAAAGGAAATAGGTGAGAGGTTGTGGATAAAAAGCATAAAAATACTAATTGTGACACAAAATTTTGACTTAGCTAGTTAAATTTATGATATAGTAAATCACAATTATGAGATAATTTCAAGATTTTGACTTATGAAATCAACATTATTAGATAAAAAGATAAAATCATGAGCTAACTCAAAGAATTTCACATTATGTGGAAAAAAGTCAATATTATGAGATAATAAGTAAAAGTATGAGATACTAAGTCAAAATTGTGAGGTAGCAAGTCAAAAGTTTGACTTACTAATTAATTATTTCCTTTTTGAGTCAAAATTCTGACTCGTTATCTTATGATTTTGATGGTTTTTATTTTTTTCTTGGTGAAAATTGGCTTCCATATGTCAGGTGTATAATAATGTTGTATATAATAATGCTGTTATAAACAGATGTTTCTGTTTAAGTTGTCTGAGTTAAATTTGTTGTCTCACTTCCTCTTCATATTTCAGTCTCTTAGTTAAGACTCATAATAACAAGCTGACACCTCAAACAGCATGAGTCTGTTTCACATCTTTCCGTCTGGTCTCTTCTACTCAGACTGATAATGACGAGCCCACAGCTGCTTTAGTCAAACAGCCCTACATGTTTCTCCATCCCTCACCATCCTCTTCTCCTCTCTGTCATCACCTGCCATTGCTTTCTCTCTCTGTCTCCCTGCAGCCAGACGAGAACAAACACATCCTGGCACTACAGTTCAGCTGGAAGGATGGTATAAAGCCCAAGGGCAGCATCTTCATCGGCGTCAGTCCCGAGTTTGAGTTTGCCCTCTACACCCTCTGTTTCCTCACCTCGCCCAACGAGCGCGTCAAAGTCCAGTTCAGTTTCTACGACGTGGAGATTGTTTGCCACCACTACAACCAAAAGCACATAGGCACCACTTACCCTGTGCTTATTAGGTACCGGATACCTACAAAGTAACTTGTCTAGAAATCAATCTCAGGTACAGGTATAACTTCTCCAACACTTGAGCTTGGAAACAAAGTGTCACAGGTGTTGTTGTTGTCTTTTTATTTTAGATAAAGATACAATAAAACCTTACAAGACCCAGTAACGTTTGTTTTTATTTCACAATGATGCCCACTCTGAGTGTGTTTAAAATTTAGTACATTAGTCGTGCTACTTACTGATGTTCATGAGTTACTATTAAAAATGTATGAGTACATTTATTCAAGTACTCTACCACAATTTCGAGGTACTTGTACTTCCACTTTCTGCTTTGACTCCACTATATTTGTGTGATAATTTAAGTTGAATTAAATGTGTTAAATTATGACACAAGTATACCAATAAGATTTAATTGATCCCCAGGGGGAAATTCACAAGCTACGCAGCAGTATAAAAAGTAATATGTATGTATATAATACATACAAATAAATTAAATTAGTGAGGTAACATCATATATGTACATGTAAGTAATGCACCAATAAATGTAATTCGATTACATGACATACATTATCCTGAAATGGGCCATTCTGCAAAGTGAGTACTACTTTGTATATTTTAATGCAAAAACTATTTGTACTTTTACCTAAGTAAAATTTTATATGTAGGACTTATACTTTATCTATATTGCTGTTTTTATTTAGGTAAAGGATCTGAGTACTTTCTTCACCGCTGATGATGGATAACTTTTAATCAGTAATTTAATTTTAGCAGCTAATTCTTTAAGTAATGTTTTAATAATGTTTATGGCTGTTTCACTTTGTTCCAAATGGGGGCGGTAGAGGGTTTGTTGTGGCCAATGACGTCAATCGATTTGAGAGCCAGACCTGCGTCAAGTGAGCAAGAATACAACGGAAACTGACTGGTTTTGATTTCAAAATAAAAGCACCGGAAGTGTCTTTCATAAACAGAAATGATGACGTTTCTTTGTGAGAAAGAAGTGTCTGAATAAATATATTATCTAGTAGTGCTGAGATATAAATTAGGTTAATATATTTGCAAAGATACTGTTTCTGTTTCTCAATCTGGACTTTCTTTAAAAATGATAACCGGAAGTCGTGTTAGCCTGTATGCTAACACTAGTGTAGCTTGACAGTGGTGTGAGCGCTGAGCAGTCGAGAGAGAAACAGGTTTTTTCATTGTGGCGAGGATCGACTTTACAGTTTGTACAGTTATATAATTTTGTTCTCGTTGGGTGTCTCGGTGGCGTGTTCTTCTCTCTATTGTTGATAGCCAGCCGTTCACATCGGAATGGCCGAACCGAGCGGCAGATACCAGCAGGTATGTGAACACTAACGGTTACTAACAGCTAACACGTTAAAGATTTAACAGCACACGTTAACGTTAGCTGTTAACACTGAGACTCTGCCTGGCTTGACTGAAGAAGCTCACACTCTCTCAGGTGTGTCGGTGGTGTCACCTTCCCGAAAGTGACGGTTTCCTATTCTAGGGTGTCATTAACGTTAATTAGGTCAATTTTGTTCCGATTAATTTCGTTATTTTTTATCGTGGGGAGCTGGCTGTTAACGGCACGCTAGCTTAACTAACTAACGCTAACGTTGCCTGTTAGCTGTTTAGTTGATGCTAATGCTAACGATACGTGACTGTGAACATGATTTCCTGTTCGGGCGTTTTGTCTTTTATTTCGATTAGGTATATCAGAAAAGCTTTGCCTATATGCTAGCTAGTTAGCATAGTGGTGTAAAGTGGAACTTCACTGAACGTTTCTCGACGCCCTTTTCTGTAGGCTAATGTTAGTGTTTGGTTAGCACATGACCTGCAGTAAGTGGGTGTGTTCGCTGGTCATCTAGTTTAACGCTAACCGCAAAAATCCGCCGGCTAACCTACTTAGCAAGGTGCAGACTGTCCTTATTATAAGTCTGCTCATGTGGGTGATGGCAGTGCTTGCTGATGTGCAGACGCATTAGAGACTGCTCTATTAGAAAGCCAGTTACTTCCTGTGGGTGACGAGAAATGTGCCTCAATGAGGCAGCGAGCATTTAAAGATGGACTGTTTCATGTTGTAGTTGCTGAGAGGTGTTGAAGTGACACAGTAACTTGCATTTGCAGTGTTGAGTTTATAAGCAGTTATTTTCTAGAAGAATTTCCTTGAAATAACGGCTTAATTTTAACCCAAACAAATATTCATCATCATTCAGTATTTGGGTGGAAGATATCATTAATCTTCCATGTATATTGAGGCAGGCCTGTAGACAAAATTTAGAATTTAGCATGTTCAGGTGATCTCACTGACTGAGGAGCTCACTAGAAACTAATTGGAGTTAATTGGAATTAGCTTAGTTATTTGTAAATGTACCAGTTGCCAATTACAGGTTACCACTGTCCCCATTTCCCCTTTAATGTCATGTCATGTGATGCACACATTTATTTATCCTCTCTGAGAAACTATAAGAAACTATGGGACCTGTAAAATAAAGTGTCACCAACACCAAGGGAAAACTAAGATGTTGTTAACCTGTAATTTATGAGATTTTCACTGTATAACCGTCTCAGAAAACATCATGGTTTGGCGGTATACAGTATTACACAGTTATTATTATTATTATTATTATTATTATTATCAGTTACAGTGATCCTCAAAGGAATGAAAAAAGACAGATTGTTTGGTTGAACAAATGCTTTATTATAATTGAAACTTTTTAAAAATGGAAATATGTGTAAGGGGGAATTTAGCTATGCACACACAGGTGAGATTTTCCGTCCAGTTCCTTTTTTTTCCCTCAATACTGTAGATAAACAAATATTCACGGTATGATAGCTGTCCATTTTCATATCACGGTATAGTTTCACAGTATACTGCTGCTGTCCTACTGCTAACCCCAGTGTTGCAGTCTTACTATTTGGTACTAGGCACCACTTCAATGGTCTTTCCTGGAAACTGACAGTAGGGTTTGGCTAATTGATCATATGAGCTTTGGTTTCAAAATCATTTTTAGCTGAATCCAGAGTGGCTAAGTCTGGTCAGTCATGTGTCTCCTGCTTTTAATGAGTGGGGAAAAATAAGGAGAAATGAAAAACATGTTGTGGTCTGTGCTTTTTTGTCTTTATAATATCCAGATGTGTTTGAAGACATTTTTTTGACGTGGGCCGAGTTTCCATTAATCTCTGATCATTTTTTGATGTTCAGTGTGAGTTCTTTAAATAAGCTACAGTTTTAAGATAATAATTTCACACTACACACACACAGTGTGAAGCATCTTTACCTAAAAGCGTCCCTCTCAAATGGAGAACAGCGAGTGCTGCTGACACAAGTGCATTATGGCCTTGAATAAACCAGGATGTGGTTTTTCTCTCTCCCACAGCTGCCCAATGAGGAGGACCCAGAGGAGAGTCCACAGGTAGCAGCTGATGCTCCACCCCCGTACAGCAGCATCGCAGTGGACAATGCTGGTAAGACTGTGACTCATCCAAATGTGTCTTTGGTCCCTGGTCATCTGCAATGGTGGTAGAATGGGGAGTGGTATTTGTGTTGGTCTGCACAGGGGTGACCTGAGGAGACGTGGTCCTGTAAGATTTCTTGAGCTGGTGAATGATACACATTTGTGGACTGTTAAAGAAAAACAGTCAAGGCGTTAAATGGGGTATTAATATTGATATCATATAAATAAATTGATAGGTAAACATAGGTCAGAAATGAATGCTTCCTTTGTATCCCGATCATTCTTTGTCCCCCTATCTCGTATGTCCTCTTATATTGGACATCTGCTGATACTGAGTTTGATCCAATACTTACATTGACATAAATGTTGAATAAAAATATGTCTGACACATTGAAAAACAGCTGTAGCCTTCTAAATTTGGCACGCTTTATTTTTCACGAGCTTTTAGATCCAATTATTGAAGCTCTTGATTAAAAACTATGAAGTTATTGCCTTACATCAGAGAGACCTTTTCAACTCGTTACACTCTGTTTCTATCTTCATTAAAGTTGAATCAATCAACTCGAACTCAGCGGAGTGAACAGATTCAAAGGTCTTGACCCAGGCAAATAAAGTTAAGCGTAAATTATTGATATGATATAAATAGAGAATGCGACTTCCTGAAATTGATGTGAAAGCTGGTTGCTTTTAGAAGGCCTCCTGGTTATTTATAATGGTTGACTCATACATGTTCAACCATCTTACAGAACAGCGGGGAGTCTTTTTAACCATGTTTTATAACCACTATAGGGGCAGTCAAAAATTTGCTCACTGAGCAAAATCTTCCACAATAGAGATCTTGCTTGTTTGCATAAGCAGCACATTTATTGCAATCTGAAAAAGTCAGTTTGCTGTCAGCGGGGATTTGTAGGAAATTCTACATCATGCATCACCTCCATGTCTCGAGTCTGTTTCCACTTTCAGAGCTGCTTGCAGTGACTAAACACAAGAACAATAACACATGTATAATAGTGGCTTTAGTATGAGCAGTGATATGTAAATATGTGATGCGGTTGCCAGTCAGCTGTCTGCCAATGCGTAATACAACTTTGTATTAGTAAAACTTCAGCCATAGTGTTTGAAACTATGCTGTCTTCACTTCAGCCTACTTTGACTGCAAGGAAGACGGGGCTTTCCCCAAGCCTCCGTCATACAACGTAGCAACGACGCTACCTTCCTATGATGAAGCAGAAAGAACCAAGGCTGAGACTACTGTTCCCCTGGTAGCTGGAAGAGTGAGTATCTCACTTTTTTTCATTTAGCCTGTGGGTACATTCACTATGTACACACACACACGCATATACGCACACACACGTTGTAGCTTGTGCTCAAACATTTCCTGTGTTGTCTGCGAGGCAGGAAGTATTTAGCACCCTGCAATGGAACGTTTTTTTTTTTTTTTTCATTCTGTCTATCTGATTGTATCTCTGTCTTTCCCACATGACTCGCTGCCAACATTTACTGCTGGTTTGAACAAAAAGAGACTCATAAAAATTAAGAAAAACTTTTAGTAAAAACATATTAAAGAACATTGTGTTACATTTTTTCACATATTTGAGCACAGTCTGTGTCTCTTACTTTTGTGAACACTTCAGTCTCCCAGGCTGCCCTTAACCACCCTTGGTGCACTTTGCACCTGGTTTTATTCTCCCAAAATCTGAGTAATAATTGCAGCATTTAAACATTGGAGGGGGCTTCAGACTGAAAAACATTTTCTGTTCTGATGCAGTGCTGGCAGGCATTTCATGTATGGGCAGGTATTTATCTTATCCTGTTAGGTACAAAAGCTAACATTTCCTGTGGTACTCAAACTTGCTACAATACAGAGCTGCTTTATCTCTGTATCAGTTATCTCACAGATGGTTAGGTTGAAATTTACAGTTAAATTTGCATTTTAAAATTTGCTTTCAAAAAGCTGCAGGTGTTTAGAAAGACAGATGTTTCTAATGTTAATGTTGTTAATGAAAGAGTATTTGATATAAGATGCATTCAAAGTTTCAAAAGCTTTAATGGCATGATTTCTTAGGGAAACAACCATGTTCTTTACAGACACAAAATGTTTGTGTGTGGAAACTACTTCTTTTCCGGTTAGTCCTTTTTATTTACAAAGGACAAAGCACACCACATCTTGTGTAAGAGGCTAATTAACTTGCATTTAATGCCTGAGGGGCTGTTTGAGACCAATAATCAAACCTCTAATGTTATGGAAGCCATCTCTGAGTCTCTGTCTTATCCATCAGAATTCCACACATGCCTGTAAAAACGACTGTTTTTAAAAAAAAGTATCCATTCAGTAAAAAATGAAAGCTCATCTCTGACCTCTAGTGGTCACTGTGATGCTTTGCACCTTGCTGCATGTGGGGCCACCCTGTTTGATTTGCTGGTGTTGTGTTTCTCTGCCACACACTGCCGTGCGCTCAGCAGCAGCCTCAGCACAGGGAGCGCCTGGAGACTTTTGACGATGTAATTCGCAGTTCACTGGAGGTAACTGGGAGGAGTGGGAGGAGAGTGTATGATGAGAGAGGACGTGTATTTGGTGTGTGAGAACGCAGATGTACCTGCAGTGTTTATGTACCTTGTAGCACCTCACCCTTCTTGTGTGTTTGTGTATTAAGAGTGCAAGCTCGTGCTTAGGTAATAACGATACAAGATTTACTGGTTCTTCTGATGCTCTGTATTGAATTTGACTGACTCTAGACCTTTAAGATAAAGTGACAATGATAGTAATTAGATGGGCTTGCTGTGTTGTGATGGTTCCATTGGTCTGTTGGTTGTTTGTGTTGTATTTTCTCTCTGTTGTGAGCAAAGCTTGGTTTCCATCAGCAGGTGCTTGCCCGTGCTTAATCACTACATTGTACTTGCATAAGTCTAAATCCAGCATCTTAAATTGGTTGAAATAAAACAAGCTTTATCAAATTAATTGATCTGAAGACTAGAAATAGTTTGAAATAAGTGAAGTAAAGCCCTGGAAAGCTCTGCTACTTCCTGGTTGTGGTGAAATGGTTTTATTGCTTGAATAACTTACTTAATTCTCTTTTTGTTTTGCTCCTCTGTCGCTTATTTTATCACAGGATGAAGACTTTGTGACCAGAGACGACTTTGAAGACGCCGATCAGCTGAGGATAGGAAATGACGGCATCTTCATGCTCACCTTTTTCAGTCAGTTACCCAATCTACTCACATACTCGTCTTGCATCTTCAGCTCCTCTCTGCCTAGATTTGTGTGGAAATGGCTTCCCCTCTTATTTGAGATACAATTTTTTTTTGATGGCACATCTAACACCATAATTCTCTTTCCCCTCCATCCTTTGTTCAGTGGCATTCCTGTTCAACTGGATCGGCTTCTTCCTGTCTTTCTGTCTGACCACCTCAGCAGCCGGCCGCTACGGAGCCATCTCGGGCTTCGGCCTCTCTCTAATCAAATGGATCCTCATAGTCAGGGTATGACAAGGAGCCCACACACACTCACTTACACACAAACACATACAAACATATAAAATATGGTTTTATGTACGCACAAAGAACTCCCAAGCCTCAAACACCACTCTGGTATTTTTATGTTGTGTCTGTAGTGGTTGGCTTGTTGGCGCTGCACCTCCAAGATCTCTTGAGAAGTGCGCTGCTTTTTTCACTGGCTTTTAAAGTGCAGGACTCATTTGAGTGAAACCAGTGCCGGCCATATTTATTCTAACCAGTCATTTCTGTTGGGTTTCTAGTTCTCCACGTACTTCCCCGGTTACTTTGATGGACAGTACTGGCTGTGGTGGGTGTTCCTGGTGTTGGGTAAGTAGCCAACCTCTAAATTTAAATGATTTTAATAGAGAATCAGAGGGTTTTGTCCTGCTTGTGACACAGTTCTGCTCTCTGGAGCTACATTGCAACATTGTTGAGGTGAGAGAGACTGTAAATATGTTACAAAATAGTTACAGCTGGATATTTAACTTTGATTATGCTGTTGTTAGCATACAGCACATAGAGGAACAAAGTGGAAGGAGAACAAGTGGTTCACCACAGTAAATTGACATTGTCTTAATGTTTTCTCTAATGATATACCAGTGTTCTTCAACGTAGAACAAAAAAGAAAAAAACAGTTTTTTGACTTTAACAATCGCTTAAGTGACTCAGTGCATGTTAATGGCCATGCCCATAGTGAAAAACCTTAATAAGCCCAGTTTGGACCAGTGATTTGTTATGAGACAAGACTGCATGCTAACATGACTGCCTTCTCAAATTTATAAGGTGATACTGTCACTGGGTGCGTCTCCATACACCTGTTTTTATGCACAATTTCAATTTGGGCATAAAAAACCTGAGAGGAAATGCAAAGTATTAAAAAAAATCTTGAAATATCACAAATAAGTTTTCACACTTGGGGGAGGTGGAAAAGTTGGTATATCAACAAAAGGCAAATGTGACTAATTGCAGTGCAAACAGATTCAACAAACAAACAATAAACAAACTTTCTTTGTTGTCTCTGGATAGCTTTAAACATGCTTATGTATGCACACAACTGTTATCAACACTCTTCCAAGAGCCCATAGCTCTAATACTGGTTGTTCCAAACTCTACTTACATTGGCTGATGTGCTCTTTGTGACTAATACATCCATTGTTTTCATTTGTTTGAGGTTTGACTGATATTTTTTTAATTACATCATCTCATTGCGCCCTCTTCTGCAGTGGCACCTACTGTTTAAATTGATAAATCAATTTTCAGTATTCACATAACAGTAATGAATGGAAGAACATAGGAATTTGCATTTTCTTTTTCAGATTTTCTGAAAGTTTAGTTAAACTTTGCACCACATTTGGATGAAAACCCAACTAATGTCATGTTTACAGTTGGTTGACTTTATCGCAAGTGACCAAAACAATTCAACTTAATTTCCTAGGAATACAGCAGTTTACTTGTTATTGCTGTCTCCCCATGGTAATGTCATCCCCATGTTGCTAAATCAGCTTATTAAGTTAAGTTATATTTCAGTTCCTACCACACAGATGTAACTTTGTTTGATCTCAGATAAAGTTTTTTGTTAGTAGTTGTTTTTTTAATTTCATCTTGCTAATCTTAGTTTCATCTCAGCTAATAAGTGCAGTTTTATCTGTTGGTTTTTGTCATATTTATCAGGGGGCCTCATGTCCTTAAACAGTCTTAAATTAAGATTTTTTAATATAAGGCCTTAAAAAGTATTGAATTGTCTTAAATATTTTCGGTCACATTACTGTGATAATTTCTCCAGCCTGACAGACCTAATGACTGTTAACAGTCATTGGACAGATCGAAGAATTGCAATAATAGATAGCATTTATGACCGCAGTGAGATTTTGTTTTCTTTTTACATGAAACAATTTTTTGTTTTGCTCCTCAGGCTTTTTGCTCTTCCTTCGAGGATTCATCAACTACGCCAGAATCCGCAAGATGACCGACACCTTCTCCACCCTGCCCCGCACCCGAGTCCTCTTCATTTACTGAGCTTACAATCCATCAGTTTCCATCGTCTCCCCCTCCCCCTCCCCTTTGCATTGACACACACTGTCTGGCTTGATCCAATCAGAAATGGAGAAAAGAACATTTCTTTCCTCTGCTTGACATTTGATTTGGACAATACATCTATTGTCCCCTCTTGGTGTAAAATAGTGATTGCTGAGAAATCTGTTTAAACCCTTCAGTTGTTAGTGGTGAACTGTCAAGTGCTATTTGCAATTATGAAGTGTGTGATGTATAAATGAATGCCTTATTTACTGTTTTACTGTCTGTTGGTAGCAGCAGCATGCACTGCTCTCCTGCGTAGCCACCAGGGGGCAGTCTTGTTTGTGTTATTTTCCACCAGTCCTCTATCAGATGAAGTCATTTGTGTAGAGAGGTGGTTCTCAGCCCAGGGGCCAGTGGGTAATTTTGGGGTTATGGGTTGATTTATGCAGTGTGAAATAATATATTTCAAGTACCGATTTAATGTGCTTTTAACCCTTCTGACCAATGCTTTTTGTCCCTTGTGAAATAGTGTATGATTCAAGACTGAAAAGGGAAAATCATCTTTTGGGTTCAGGACTTAAAAATGGTTGAGGACCACACATAGCAGAGTAGGGGCCGGGTTTCCCCTAGAGCATTTTTTCCTCCTGTATTTAGGAATTGTTCATGCTTTCACATACTGTAATCAGGATTGTTGTTTCCTTATATATAATACATGTATGTCAGCAGAGCTTCTTGGGCTGCCCTGCTCAAGGACACAGTGATGAGGATGAAATAAGCCGATAGTCTGTCACTGGATTCAAATGTGCAATTAGATGATTCTAGTAATTAAATTATTCTGACGCCCTGTCTTAGTTACTGGACACCCAGATGCCAGATGTGATTTGGAAACTCTGCCCTGTAAGTAACAAGAAATATATTAACACAGGGCTGAGATTTATTTTTTCTTCTTTGACGTAAAAATGAATTATGACAAGAATCGTTCTTTTTATGTTCACCCTCATTATCGTGGAAGTGGAATGATTATTTTTTAGAAGAATTTTAAGTTTCTGGTTTGGAAAATGTTTGGAATTAAACTCATAAAAAGAAAAATCTATTTTTGTGTCAAGCTTTTTATCAGATGGTAACAAGCTTAGTAGAAAATATCACATGACAAGACACCGGTCTCACTCTGGTCGCAGGATACCACTTCCTGTCAGCTTGCTCGCCACAAGAACTTGAAATTAAAACAGAGAAAATTGTAAAGCAAAGCATTTCAAAAGAATCATAAAATTTACAAAGAAGGTTTATTCCCTGCACCTCGGGATTATTTTTGTCTCCAAAATACTTAAGTTACAGTCATATATTAAGAAATTTGAGAGATCAGGAGATGATAAATTGTTTTTAAACTTCAAGTTTAATTTGAAGTTAATGTCACACAGGTGACCTTACCACACCTACATAAAAACACAGCCTTCCGTGTGAAGTATTTCACAGTGTGGCCGGTGTGTGGAGGCTTCAAAAAGGTGGAGGAAGCTGAGCTGACCACGATGTTCACTTACTGACATGAGACGTACTTTTAGCCATGCTAAATTTAACACACAGGAGACGCGTGCGTGCGTGTGTGTGTGTGTGTGTGTGTGTGCTCGTGCAAATCAAGATGATTTACTGGTGGTGGCTAATTATACATGTCAGCAGTGTTTTTCCTTGCAGCTGAAACAGGAAGTGAAGGTCACTCCACCTGGAAGACATGTCACACCGATTCAAACAGTCTTTGGGTTTCACTGGAAACTTTTACTGTCACATACAGCAGTGTCACATCATCATGGCGGGATATTGGCCTCTAGTGGCGCTCAGCTGACATGACATTAACTCCTCTCAGGTCATCTTTCACAGGGCACAGGGGGGAAATGTCCCCGTCAATGCACTGACAGTGATTATTTTACAGCATGTGATTAAAGTGTTCCCGAGTGTAGAACACAGAAGTCAAGCAAACCAGATTTGTATGCTTGTATACGTCCAGTCTAATACTTGGATTATTTATTGTGAGCTCATGCTATGCGGTCCACACTTTTTAGAGGAGTGTGTGTTGTGAGATTTGATGACAAGAAACTGAAATGCAGCTGTTTACCTCTGACTTGTGCCACTGGTAGCCTATTTTCTTAAAATCAGATTTCCTGTAGTCATTTATTCTTTTGCACAATGCACTCTAATAAAACAGAAACAGCTGTTGGTCAGAAATTACAGATGTTCAGTTAACTCCAGGGCTGAAAATGTGAACTGTCTCAGCTTTAGAAAACCAATTACTTAAGTACTTAAAGACTGTTTTTCCATTTGCTTCTTATATTCAGCCCTATAAAGAGAAAAAGAAACACAAATAGGCCAAAGGTCATTTTCCAGACTATCACCACCGGTCCAATGAACCACCACGTCAGTACATGACCTTGGATAAACACTCTTCATTTTGCCAGGTGCGTACGGGTTTAATCGCTGACAGTGTTTCAGCTGTAAATCCTGGCAAAGCACACAAACAACAAAAATTCCTTATCAGCCACATCTCACGCAGACTCAGCCTCAGTCAACTCGAATGCCTCCGTCACGTCATCCCTCCCCAGCTCCAGCAGGGTCACCCAGTCCAGGTGTTCTCGTTATCCAGATGTCATTCATAAAATGACTCCATTGTGCCAAGAGCTGTCTGTGTCTTGTCAGCTGCCCTCGATTTACAGAGACGGAAGTATTTCTTGGAGTAATTGATGGGAATTATGTGTGCTAGCCAAGTGCCTGAACTGCTTGCATGTTTTAGCTATCAAAAGATAAGAGGGACTTTCTGATTTACAGAGAGCCTGGGAGGAGGCCATCTTTCCAAAGCTTTACTTTTCCGGCTTCTGTTAAACAGACTTTTTGTGCAAAGATCATTTTGATTTACAATAGCTGATAAAGTGGTATGATATGTTTAGGACAAAAAGCCTGTTGTCCAATACAATAGGGAGACTTTGCTATAAACACTACTCAACTTTGTGCAGTTGTGTTTTTTTTATGGCTAAGTCAACAAGTAAATGCTACACTGCAGACTAGTTAAAAACTTCTTTCCCCTCAATCTGCAGAAAATAAACTGTGCAGTAAGTGTGTGATGAATACGGAGGCCATGAGAGGCAAATAAGAAAGAAATTCTGGTGATCCATTTTCTAAGTCTGATTTAAGTTGTTTTCTCTCCTGTGTTCATGGCCTAAGATGAAAAAAGAGGTTTTTCTGGTAAAATCTTTCTGATTCCTTTATTTTATTTCTATTTTTCGTATGTGAAACAAGTGGAAAAAAAGTTTGCCACGATAATTACTTTTTTTTTTCCAATCTGTGGAAACAGGTGAATACAAGTTTTGGCAGGTGAAGTTTTATTTTATATTATTAATTTAATTTAATTTTATTTTATTCAATTTTATTTATTTATTTTTTGGCAGGTCAAATTTTTGAGTGTTTGTTGTTGTAAAACTCATTTTAGCTACAAGAAGCTGAAGTGCCAGTTACTCCATGTTCAAAATAGGACTACAAGCATTCAGGTTTTCTTCCTGGTGAGTTTTAAGTTCTTAACGCACTTTAAACACAAGGTGTGCGTTAGCAAATAATGTAGCATTACTGTCATGTCTTTCTTTTGGCTAGAAATGCAATTGAATTGACGCTAATCTTCTGTTAGCTACCGGTAGTGATACTGACGTTAGCTGTTAGCAAGCTAGCTAGTGAGTGAAAACATTGGAACTGAACACTGTTCATGGCTAACTCACAGCTGCAACTTAGGTTGACTCGACTGCATGGCTAACGTTAGTTTACTGTAATGTTAATAACACAAGATGAGATAATTTAAGATGAAATAAGATAATCCTTTATTTGTCCCACAGCAGGATATTTGCAACATTACAGAAGCAGAGTGATAGTGCTAACAGGAAGCATCAGTAGAAAAAATATAAAGCAATAAATAAGTTTGTAAAATAAGTAAACTGTACAAAAAAAGCTATATAATAAGCAAACAGTATAATAAGTAAGCAGCAAAAAGAAGCAGAATATAATAAAGAGTAACGTTAAGACTGAATGGCATGTGTAGATATTTCACAGTTAGTATACAGATACAGACATTATAGAGTGCCGAAGTCACGCCCCTTCCAGTCAAGCTCATGGGACCTTAGATCGGAAAAATATGAATGGCAGTGAATGAGGAGAGCAATATTATCTTTTGTTCCCGTTTGAGTTGCGACATGAAATCCAAATATGTCGTTAATGAATTTAAAACATAAATTTTAAGGTCAAGAAAGTCATACTTTGTGGTAAAACTGTTGAGATATAAGCTTTTGAAAAAAACGTAATTAGAAAAACTACACAGGAGGCGGTCGCGTATGTGACGTCATAGCTTTCGCTCGCTTCCAGCAGCTTGGAGTGACTGCAACCTGGCACAAAACACACAGACATCTTCAATCATAAATCGATTAATCATAAAACAGTGGAATTTCAGCGGGGAGGCCAAACTGCAGGAAGCAAGCGAAAGCTATGACGTCACATACGCGACCTCCTCCTGTGTACTCTTGAGTCTTTCTAATTAAAAAGTTTATATCTCAACAGTTTTACCACAAAGTATGACTTTCTTGACCTTAAAATTTACGTTTTAAATACATTAACGACATATTTAGATTTCATGTCACAACTCAAACGGGAACAAAAGGTAAAAATATTGCTCTCCTCATTCACTGCCATTTTTTATCCTGATCTAAGGTCCCATGAGCTCTACCGGAAGGGGCGAGACTTCGGCACTCTATACATGCTATCATGCTAACCTTTTTTTCCTCACTTACCTCTCACAGCTTCTGTAGATTCACTTGACTAAACTACAGACTTTAATAAGCTTTGAGTACGTAAAGTGCTTGTGTGATGGAATAATACATTTTGATGCTATTTGAGAGTACATCTTTTTCACAGCAGACAGTGTGACTTATCAAATTAGGAAAAGCACAGGTGTTATTAATGAAACCAAAGATTTCTGGGAATACGCTTATTTGTTTTCTCACTGAGAGTCCAGATGGATATCAATCTCATGTCTTGAGAGTGATATCCATCTTCTCATTTAACTTTCAACAAGAATGTGAATAAGAATCGTGTTTTTATGATCGTCACTAGCTATGTTTCCATCCAAAAGTGATTCAAATCATTAGCCATGTTTCCATCAGCTTGTTTAGTTCGCATCAGAAAATTATGATGGAAACGGCAAAATCTGAATTAAAATACGAATTCTAGTTTTGCGGAAAACTTGCGCGAGTTCGTAGTTTTCACCAAAGTCCGTACATTTAATGGAAACACACAGGATTCGTATTTCTTTTAATGCGCATTTCCCAATGCTATGTTTCCATCCAAAAGTGATTTGAATCATTGGGAAATGCGCATTAAAAGAAATACGAATCCTGTGTGTTTCAATTAAATGTACGGACTTTGGTGAAAACTACGAACTCACGCGAGTTTTCCGCAGTACCGGAAATAAAACAAGTCTCGCATTCTTCTTCTGCAACGTTTTCTGGCGGTTGGCAACCAGCTTGTAAATGCATTACCGCCTTCCCAACCCGAAGTGTGGATATCACCATGGAGAGAGGTGCGCTACGTCAGACTTAATTCAAACATAACTGTTTCCATCCCCCGTATTGCGAATCAACATTTTTTCAAATCAACCAAAACCTGGCTAAAGTGAGCGTATTTTAGTTTGTGCGAATCAGGGGATTTTAATTTCCATCATAATTTTCCGATGCGATACTTCTAGATGCGCATCTAAACAGGCTGATGGAAACATGGCTAGTCGGGCCATATCATAAAGCTTCACTTGGTCAAATTCAAAGTTTATAGTAATATCACAGAAAAATAACATTTTGCACATATTTTTCTAAGGTTTTGTCCAGGTGCTTCTTAAAAGAAGAGGGTAAAACAATATACAAAATGTTAGAATATGTGTGAAAAACCAGTGATGGAATGATGCAGTGGCAGTTTGTGGATATTTATGAATGTTATAATGTGTTTGGACTCAATATTTTTGCTGGATTTAGATCGTCTGGACCACTGGGAGTGTGGGAAAATTATGTCAGCAACATTCCT